CTTCCCTGTTCAAAAGTAAATACCATAAACAGTTTGAACGAGACCCGCAGATGCAAACTATCAGTTAACTCGCCAAGATTCACTCACGAGAGGTTCTTAGGAAGGGGAGGACTTGAGATAGAGAATTGAAGATGAATAGGAAGGAAATAAGTCACTGTCAAGACTAGGGAAAATTTCCATCTGCCATAGTGATTTGTACAACCAAATAAAAGACTACTCTCTTCAATAGCTTTCTTGTAAAATTTCTTTGTTTACCTCCTCCACCTGGAGTCTGTTTTCCTTCCGTAATATATATATACACATGATTGTATACCACCAATGGTCGGGAAAGAACTGAGGCAGCATAAAAAACTCGTTTCAACGTGATTGAGAATAATTAGTGATGAACTGAGGGTGCTGGAAGTAAAGTTGCACTTAAAATTTTTAAATTTTCATACAATTTTGTATTTTTATTGTCCCTAGTTTTTAAATACAAGTTCTCATGTTGTATCCCAAACATAAAATTATGTGTCCATCTTTGAAAATAATGAATCCGATCACAAGTGGCAGGCGAATGTGCTGTCCACACTTATTTTTTCCCCTTTTTATTATCACTTGGCCTTGGACTCCATTTGGGCATATTCATTGTCAACTTCCCACCATGCATGTGCTTTGTGCTATGCGATACATAAATTAAATAGACAGATGAAAGATTTTTTTTTGAATAAAAAAAAAAGTGTGGGTCTGAATATATCTAAATGTATTAACTGTCTTCTATCTAAGAGTTTAAGGGTAAAAAGTAATAAGAGAATAATCTAAAATGTAAATATTCAAGGTGCCTGTTATATGATTAATAGATTAATCTAAAAGAAATTTATAGGAAGTAGACATGGACAATATTCTCTTGTTACTAATTATCCAGATAAAGTCAATTTGTTATCAGCTTATTATTAGATACCCCACCAAACCAAAAACTTACAGTTGACTTCCATACAAGAAAACAATAGTCAATTTTCTTGACTGCATCAAAGTCGATAAGCAAATTCCTACATGATTCGGTGCCTTGAAGGGCACGTCATAATCGAAATCTATTATTATCTCTAAAACAATGGTGGTTGGTTAGGTTATCAGTCTCAAAATTTAGATAACTTATTGTTAAACCCAAACCCCATTTGTTTTTCCTTCTAATCAATATAAAAAGCATGAGACCAAATTAATTAATCTTATATTGCCTTGATCTATATAGATACATATTATATAATGCTGCAGATTGCAGAAGCTGAACCCCAGTGCGATCAGGTGCATGCCTTTGACTTTCTTCTCACGTAGCAGGCAGGATAAATGGCAGGATTCAGAGGCATAATGGGCACATATTTTCTTAATAAAGGAAGCATTTAAAGACCCAGAGAGAGTCAAACTTATATATTTTATATATAGTGTATAATTTTTAAGTTTACATTGGATGAATGAAAATTAAAGAATGAGATTAATAATAGGAAATAAGAAGATATTTACTAAAAAAAATTAATCTCATACTTATATTTCCAATCATCTAACGATTTTAAATTTATGTAAAACTAAAAGAATTTTATATTATGTAAGTAGATCTTAACTCATATACATATATTTAAGGGTAATTACAATATACATCCAAACTATGGTTTAATCTTTAAATCTTAAAACGATTTAATTACGTTCTTAAAGTATAATTGTATCTTTCGCATAAATTTTTGTTTGATAAATTTGATGTGAATACAAGGTAATATTTGTTCAAAGACTTTCAACTATTTGACATTAAACACTTATACACCCATATTCACACATGCATTCATGGTGTTTAAACCCGATACCTCAAATTATAATAATAATTCCTTATCTACTTAGGTCACTTCATTTAAATACACATACTAAAATAAAATAAAATAGTCATAAAAAGCGTATCTTTTTAAATATATCATATTTAATTTAAAATTCAAAAGAAAGTAGTCTTAAATTGTAATTGTAATTAAAATCTAAATTAATAGAATACTATAATTAATAAGATATTCATACTTTTAAGATTCAAACAAAATACTTAAACTTTAGAGATAAATTCAATGATGTTCATTGAATCTGCTAGGAATGGGACGGAGGTATAAAAACAAAGAAGAGTGATGAAAAGAAGGCACGCAGGGGCTGGTTGCTTGGAGCGTTGGTAGTAAATTGTAGGTGGTGGATTTGCTCACCTAACCAAATCCCACATGACTTTACCCATTTTCATTTAAGACTGTCCCCTTTTCTTCTTCCCTGAACATTCTAGGTTTGATTATTTTCCTTTAACAGCTTCATTTCCATCTTCTGTCTTGTATTTTCCATTTTACACTCTTTATCTGTCTGTCTTAGTTCCTCAACTAAACTCATTAAATTCTCTTGCTTGAATTTAAGACCCTGTTTGGTTTCCTTATAAGGACTTTCAACAACCTCTCAAGGTGCGTTTGGTTCACGGAATGTAAGATTACCAGTGGGAATAAAAGATTACCAGGGAATAGGATTACTGAGAATGTTGTATTTTTTGTTTGGTTGGTTTAGCAGGAATGTAAGATTATCGTGTTTGATTAAGGAATAAATATTATTGTAATGTTATTGACCAAATTGTCCTTATTATACATTGTATATATTACAAATTGTAAAATATTATATATTTTCTTTAAAAATTAAATTCATAATATTTATATAATTTTTTTACAAAATTAAAAATATAAAAAAGGGTTTAATGAATGGGTAATTTTTTTTTAATCCCTGAACTTCATATAAAATTTTAATTATATATATATTTTTTTGTAAATCTAAAATAATTTAAGGATAAATTTGTAATTTAACCTTCGTAGAATTTTTATTATTCAATGACAGAAGAAGGATATTTTTGGAAAAAAATAATAATTTAAGGATATTTTAGTCCAAAACGTCGGTAATGTTACAATACCTAAGGGAAGAGAGGTAATAACATTCTCGATAATATACCAAAAAAATATACTATTGATAATAAAACATTACTGTGAATAAGATTTCCGACCAACCAAACATGGGAATGATGAAAATCTCACAATCCTTGAACCAAACACCCCGTTTGAGATAGAGAAGAAATGGTGCAATTCAAGGGAACAGTCTGTCTCTAATTATTGTTTCTCTTTATAATTTCACTTATAAATCCTCTTTCTATTCCCCATTTTGCTCTATCTCTCTTCTCTCTTCTCCCTTCTTTTTTTTTACATTCGTAAAATTCAAAAATAATTAAGCTGCATTTTCCTTTTATCTGGTTTAGGGTTATCATTCCACTTAGCCCCATTTTGAGGTAGTTATTTTTTAAAACTTTCCCGAGAAAAAAGAAAGAAGTTTGTTTCTCGAGAAAATTCTTTTGGGAGGGGTTTGGTTTGTTGTAGTTGTGATTATGGATGTATCGACTGCTTTGCTACTTTTGGCGGCTATCACAGCTTACCTATTGTGGTTTACGTTCATCTCACGGTCTCTGCGTGGTCCACGTGTCTGGCCTCTATTGGGCAGTCTTCCTGGCTTGATTGAGAACTGTGACCGCTTGCATGACTGGATCTCCGACAACCTCCGTGCTTGCGGCGGCACGTACCAGACCTGCATTTGCGCCGTCCCCTTCTTGGCCAAGAAACAAGGTCTCGTGACGGTCACGTGCGATCCGAGGAATTTGGAACACATCCTCAGGACCCGGTTCAACAATTACCCGAAAGGTCCTACGTGACAAGCCGTGTTCCATGATCTACTCGGTCAAGGTATCTTCAACTCCGACGGTGGCACGTGGCTTTTCCAGAGGAGGACCGCCGCGCTGGAATTCACGACTAGGACTCTAAACAAGCCATAGCTCGGTGGGTGAGAGCCATCAAGTTCCGGTTCTGCCCAATCCTTGAGGAAGCTCAAAACAAAACCTAGCCGGTCGATCTACAAGACGTTGTTGCTCCGGCTCACCTTTGATAACATTTGTGGTTTAGCTTTCGGAAAGGACCCGCAAACATGCGCCCAACAGCTCCCCGAGAACAGCTTCGCCTCAGCTTTTGATCGAGCCACCGAAGCTTCTCTTCAACGGTTTATTTTGCCCGAGGTTTTATGGAAGATCAATAAATGGATTCGGCTTGGATTAGAAGGCAGCCTGAGCCGAAGCGTTCTCCACATAAACGACTATTTGTCCGACGTCATCATTAAACGTAAGCGTGAATTGCTGAGTCAGCAAAAAGATGGGAATCCACACGACGACTTGCTATCCAGATTCATGAGGAAAAAAGAATCCTACTCGGATGAGTACTTTCTCCAACAAGTAGCTCTCAATTTTATCCTAGTTGGACGTGACACGTCATCCGTCGCTCTCTGTTGGTTTTTCTGGCTCATCACTCAACATCCAACCGTTGAAGATAAAATCCTACGTGAAATCAGCACAGTCATGATAGAAACACGTGGCATTGATACTTTAACTTGGCTTGATGAGCCTTTGGGGTTTGAAGAACTTGATCGGTTGATATATTTGAAGGCCGCATTGTCAGAAACCCTGAGGCTCTACCCGTCGGTGCCGCAGGATTCAAAGCATGTGGTGGCCGACGACGTGTTTCCAGATGAACATTTGTTCCGGCAGGGCCGTCAGTGACGTATTCGATATATTCGGTAGGGAGAATGAGGTCGATATGAGGTAACAATTGCCTCGAGTTCCGTCCAGAAAGGTGGTTAACACCGGACGAAAAGGAGTTCATCACACATGACTCGTACAAATTCGTAGCATTCAACGCGGGACCAAGAATATGTTTAGGCAAAGGATTAGCTTATCTTCAAATGAAGTCAGTGGCAGCGGCGACGCTGTTGAGGCATAAACTGACGGTGGCGCCAGGGCATAAAGTGGAACAGAAGATTTCGCTGACTTTGTTCATGAAATACGGGCTTAAAGTAAACGTGCACGGCAGAGATTTGGGAGCCATTGTTGAAAAGATTATGAGTGAAGAGAAATTGCATGGTAAATGCAACGTCGAATGATGGTTCTTAGGGTGGCGACGCGAGTGAGGGATGGTGGAAAACAGAGTTCAATTCTACTGGAAAGTGGGGGCCACGCTGACATGGAGGTTAATTCATAACCTTGGCATATTCTTTATAAGCCTTTTATTTATTTGTTCGAAATACTTTATAAGCCTTCCGACAATTTAATAATTCTTGTTTTCCTTTTCTTTCTTTTGTGCGAGTTATTCTATAACATTCTTTTATCATCTTCTTTCGTTTGTGTATATTTCTGCACTTCTTTCTAATTTATTAAAATAAAAGTGAATATTATTGACATGTTATCACTAATTTATTTATGACGTATTATATCAAATATTAATTTTTAAATTAATATCATATATTTTTCATGTATTATATATATAATGTTTCTTTTCAAGATCTTGTATAATTTTCCTATCAATTTTACTGCTGCAATTAATATTATATGGCCTTGTTTTCATTTAACAGTGGGCGATGGAATTAGCTGTTTGTAGGCCATAACAGGCCCACATATTCACTTGAACTATGACAAAAAAAAAATCCTCATGACTTTTTTAAATAAAAAGTTAGGTTTTTATTAATAAAAAGGTAAAGTATATTATACTATAAAATTAGAGATGGATTAACAGGACGGTTAATTTTTTAAATTATATATATTTTAAATATTTTTGTTTTTTATTAATATTATGCTTTCGTCTTAAATTTTAAAAATTTATCCCTAACATAAAATTTTACATATGCTTAGATGAAACCCAAAGATATAAAAAAATAATATCAAAACCTTTTTTTGAATACATACTTCATATTTTTTAGAAAATCTAACAACTATTATGATATCATCGTCTTTATTTGAACCTAGGCGTAATATTGATGTAGTGAAGATTGAGAAATCAATATGACAAATTGTTTCATGAACGATTCTAAATGTATTACAAATTGTCACAAAAATCTAACTATACAAAATTATTAAACTTTCCTGATCAAGAGGTGTGATATGATGAATTTAACATGAATGAAACCGTCAGACTATCATAACGATAGACATTATATTGTATCATAAAAATATACGAACATTATTTCATAAAAGCAGACAAAATTAAACGTTTGAAAATATGCGACAACAAAAAGTAAATATATCTTACAAAAACATAGATAGAAATGTTTAAATATAGTAGAAATTAAATCCATAAAAATGTTTTAAATTATAGTAGAAATTAAATCCATAAAGTTTAAATTATAGTAGAATTAAATCCATAAACAACAGGGACCTTTATGAATTTGACCATTCTGAAATTCACCAATAAAAGCAACTTACCGTCAAACCTCAGAGACACTTCGAAAACCTTCCACAAACCAAGCCAGAAACCATATTTGACGATAAAGAAGATATGAATCCTCAAGCCGACAATAGTGAGGAGGATCACCATGGGCTACCGTTACTGCTTCATATTTCCTCTTAACCGCTGACTATGGCCCTGAACCTAATGTTCTCGACCCAGTAAGTATCCTCTACTCCTTTCAATTGTTTTGGTTTCAAACACCGATCTTTGGGTTTCAATGTTTATCTGCAGCTTAAGGATAGTTATATTCCTTTTTTGGGTTTTTTCATCAATTTGATACTTTGATGCATATTCTACATTCGTAGTTAGTTGTGGAGAATTATAATAAATGACGATGAATTTCGACATGATGTGAAGTATGAACTTTAAATTTCATTCATTTTTCATAAGAAAATGAAATAATTAAAAACTGAAATTGGGGTTTGGATTTAGACTAGTTGAAGAACTTAACCAGTTATAGGCTGGATAGGACAGAAACTACTCCATTGAGAATAAATGCAGAATAAGAAGAAAAGGACTATGACGCTGGAACCGAGTTTTCGTATGATTTTAGGAATTGGAGAGTGATTTGTTTTGGTTTAGTTACAAACGCATTGCAAATTAGGAAGTCCGATAATATATTAATTGTCGATGACAGCACACGAATCATGAAGCAATACTGTCTCCATAGAGTAGTACTTCCGAGTTTCGAAAGCAGGTTTTATAGTTTGTAAAATGTTGGCTGCTAGTATCATACGGAATTTAAATGGTTGGTTTATTGTTTATGATCTCATGTACATAAGCTACGCTAAGCTTCCTAAGTTTCAATATGCTTGTAATTTCAAGCTTGTGTGGACTTCATCACTTATTTTCTCTGATTCCATAGAGCCCGCACCCCTTTATATTCTTTTACTTTCATAAAATAGTCCAATTTCTCTACTTTGGTAGGCATAATTTCAATTTGCCTTATATTTCAGTGCGTGTAGCATGCTGATTGTCAAATCGGCTTTTAGTTTGTTAAGTTTTGGAAGTAGAATGGTAAAAGAAAGTTAAGTAGGATATGAAAGAAACAAGGATCTGGGATATGGAGCTCCGGATGCTGACTTTACATTCTTTGTTTGGGGATTTGGCCAATGCTGTGATGTTTTATGTGCCATATATCATTATTTGTGAAGTTGGTTTCTAGTATTTGGTTTTGTCTCCATTTTGTTGCAATCCTGTTGAGATGATATTCAATTGCAGATTAAGAATACCATACTATCAGTGCAAAGTTCTGTGAAAGAGTTCATCGTTGGATCAAGGAAAGAACACCAAGAAAGTTCGCGGACTTCCGACAACGCAAAAGAACACCCGTAGGATATAAATTGAAACAGTTTCGTGGTTCGTCTATTGAATAAGGCTTTATATGGTCATTAACATTGAGGAATGCCTGCAAAACGTTATATGAATGAGACCAATATTCCTTTATCCCTTTTTGTGATTTCAACAGGGAAGTTTGGATTGTGTAGTACTCGTAGCAGTGTGTACTTTGTCCCTTCCTTCAAACTTCCTGGCCTTTCTTTTCTTTTCTTTTCCTTCTCGTCCTTTACTAGTATTATTTATCCAAACATAGGTTAGTTTAGTTTTTTTTTCTTTTTTTCTTTCTTTTTACTTTAATATACAATTGATACATGAACTAGTATAGAGGACATGTATTTCATACTTTTTCATAAAAAATTGTTTTATGTTATTAGTTGATACTGGATACATATAAATATATTATATAAAGTGGGGCCGTAGACGAGTGTAGCAGGGAATAGGTGAGTCTCGAGACCCTCGTGGGTGATGGTGTGGGGATGATTTTAATCTTGCAGGTCATCGGGTAAGGATGATTTTGAGTTTGATTTTCAATTACTTGATATCTAAGCTTAGAAAATCTTATCCAAGTTATGAAAAAAATTGATAAACAAAGTTTAGATATTTTGATTCATTAATCAAAGCTAAAAAAACAAGCGCATACAAACTTGTAAAAGCTTCAATATAATAACAAGGAATCAAGGTATGAGGTCCAACAATTTTGATTTTATTGTTTTTTATCTGAAACAAGCCAGTATTGGTCTTCCCACATCTCCACTTGGTTGAATTAGCTTTTCTTTCCAGAAATTCTTGTAGCTCTGGGGCCTCATGGGGGGGGGGGATCATGCATGGGGTTGCATCTCTAGAGACATCACCAAGGATTCTTCCATGAACTTACTCCACGTACCGGTTTCCTGACCGGAGGGACCGTCAGTTTTAAAATTTCAGAGCTTGGCGTACTCGTTTAGCAATGAAATAATGTAATCATATACATTGTCCATCTTTAAATCCTCTTGTATGAAGTTTCCAGCAGCCTCTCCAATTCCCTTTGCCTAAATGAATTTAAAACACAAAAAAATAAAAGAAATTATCATTTGTTAGATCTTTAACAATAGAAAAAAGAAAATAAAGTAAAAAAAAAAACCTTATCGAGATGAAGGTTATCCCATTACACAGCAATTTGAGGGATTTACATTTGCTGTTTTGTCTAATGGGCCAATAGTGCTGCAATGGCAACCATTCCCCTTATGAAGAAATCGTGGAATTGGGACCTTATGTACAAGGTCTTGATCACAAGCTAGAATGTACTTTTCACTCCGACCACCACCCCCATCCTTCTGTATATATTTTATATCTGCAACACATAATAACCAGTTTTCTACTCAAAATATTTGAAAATTTTATAAAGCAATCATTTCTTTTAAGTTTCTTAGTTATTTGATTTGAACAATTATAATTTATAAAAATTAGTGCATTACTTGATGATTAGTGATTACCTGTGGGTGCATTGGTCCCTCTAGATTTGATTGTTTGAACCCTTGTTTAGATTCCCGGCCTCAATCCAGAAATTTAACAAAAATATATATATATATATATATATATATATATATAAAAGAAAATTAATAATATTAGGATGAAATGACAATTGTAGTGTTATTCTATATCTTATTTCTGAATTTAGAATTTAATATTTAATATTTTTTTTAATGATATGATTTATTACAAGATATTATCTGTTCAAATTTACTTAATCATTAATAACATATATCGTGCAGGCTGCATACGCAAATGATCAAACTCAAGACTTCTAAAAAGGACAATATTCCCCTTAATCACTCAAGCTACTTGATGAGTACAATATTAGTGATTTAGATTTGTGATCTAAAACTTAAAAATTTAAGTTAAAGTTTAAAATTTGAAGTCCTAAATATACATAGAAGTATTGCAAACCCGTTTATGAAATGTTTTAATCCTATTTGTCAAATGAAAAGCCAAGACGTAGGAAGGAAACATGTTTTCTGTAGGCCTGTAAATGAACTGAACGTTCAACGAACCGTGCGGCGGGAAGTTCGTTTTATGTCGTTTTTTATTAAATGAACGAACATGACAAGATTTTGTGTTCGTTTATTAAATGAACGAACATGAACATAGGTCTCGTTTCGTTCATTTACGTTCGTGAACGTTTCGGTTTATTTTCGTTCGGTTATGTTCGTTTTATGTTCGTTCGGTTTATGTTCGTTTATGTTCATTCATTTATGTTAACCCAATCTTCTTAAATCAATTTTGGTGACCAATTTGTAAGTATCTTAAAAATATTAATTAATCTGATATTTTGATAACCAACTCCATAATTAACCCAATTTTATTTGGAAAACCCAACAATATTAACATGTTTAGTTCTTTTTGAACGATCCATAAGTTGCATACCCATCACCGTCACATCCATTGCGCCAGAACCCTATGTGACTGCGCCACCAGCTGGTTATCTGATAAACAAAGAGGAGTCTCAGAAACTGGTTGCTTTCGAACCAAGTCCAAAGTGATGGATTCCGGAAGGGATGTTAAGTATTAAGCACTGTTTCTTCTACTCAAATAATCTTCTTTTCTTTCATTTATAATGGAGTATTCGAATTTACAAGTAAATAGTGATCAACCAACAACTCAAGTCAGCTTACTTTTAACTTAAGAACCCAATAATGATAAGGCCTTATTCCATAGGTTGAAATTCTTTAATGCGTTTCATCAAACAATTTTGTGCGCCATCCGGATATGGAAGTTTAGCCAACCTACTTCTCTCATCTCCCAATTTTCAACTTCTACATAGCATGAAGCTAAGGACATGTTTGTTTGATCCCCAAGGATTAAGGTCGACAATCACATGAAACACAATTTGTGTTCATCTCGACTGTTGTTGAAGGAGATAGGAAGAAAGAAAGTGGGGAACGTTATGCAATCTCACATCAGTAGTAAACAAGCAGTTCGGGGTTGTAACTTATATAAAAGAAGATGGGGAGAATAGGTTTAAGCATCTTTGCGCTTGGGGTAATGTCGAGCTTGAATCGAGCTCAGAATCGAGCTCGAGTCTCGAGTTTTAATCGAGCTCTTAATTTTTTTTGAGTTCGAGCCTTTTCGAGTTCGAGACGAGTTTCAATATTATATTTCGAGTTTGAGTCGAGTTTGATAATTTTAAGCTCGCGAGTTTTCGAGTCGTGTCGAGCTTTTTTGAAAGTTTTCGACTTCGAGTCGAGCTCAGCAATACTCGAGCTCGACTTGGCTCGTTTACACCCCCTAGGTAGGGTCTCCAACGTTATGTTCGTGTTCATTTATGTTCGTGTTCGTTTATGTTCGTGCGCGTTTATGTTCGTTTATTTTAATGAACGAACATGACAATTATATTCCTTAATAAACGAACATGAACAAAAAAATTTGTTCGTTTTATGTTCGTTGTTCGTTTATGTTTATTTATTTATTAAATGAACGAACATGAACATACCTCCGTTCGTGTGCGTTCGGTTCGTTTACAGGCCTAGTTTTTGAGTGTTATTTATATGGTTTGAATTATGTGGTCGATCCTTATATTTTAAGGATAGAAGTAAATAGTTCCTCTATTATGAATCTAAGCATTTAGTCTTTATACAAAGCAAATAGATAAATTTACAACGATTATAAATTTTAAACGATGAAAAAAATATTGTTTTGTCATATTTTAAAATGACATGATTTTTTTAAAAAAATAACCTTATGGCATACTAAAAAATATTTTTTTTGTTTTATGTCGTTTTAAAGCATAAATATGATTCTTTGATAAATTTTAAATCACATTTATACTAAACTTGTACTCTAATAAACCAACTTTTTCTGACCTTTAATGTACATCTAAATGAACCTATAACATAATCAAAACTCTACTTGAAATAGTACTTGTAATAAATGAAAGATATGTACTTATTTAGGTATTAAAAAGAGTATGGGGCATATTAAAATAAATTGCAAATGTTCAGGGGGTTTATAGAATTTTAGCCAAAAATTTTACCTGAACGTATAAGAGGGGTATTCCAGTTATTTTTTTCGGTAACATTGCACTTCATAAGGTCCTTCTAGTAGGGGCACGCTGGGTTCCGTCTCCAAAAACCCTGTCCTCCCACTTCGTCCTCTGGTTTTCTTTCTTTTCTCCTCCAACAGATTTCCCCATGGCCTTATATTGGTCTCAGCCCTAATAAAAAATAGTACCCAATTTCACTATTAACTTCATAAATATTAAAATTTATTCAACGATTTCAATAATATAAAAAATATTATTTTTTAAAAGATTTCGAATTTAAGTATTGTGTGATACTTCTTGTCTAAATAAATGACAATAAACAATTGTATATTTGAAGATTACTCCATTACCATCCCTAAAAGGACCAATCTCGGAAGACGATGTCCGTGCTCGATTCATCAGCGCAATCGAAAAAATGGAGGTGGTCGAGCATTAGGACCCTGATAATCCCGGAACAAATGACAGGTCGATCATCGCAGTCGAACATCAGCTCCAAGTCCGGCAATCTTCCATGGTACAACCTTAGAAGCTGCAATATACCCCACAAAGTGAACTTATCTCTTGTCTGTAGGGACTTCCTGTATTTCTCCACGTATGCTCTGTCGTTGACGATCACCAACCTGAAATGAGTCGTCTTCCGTGCCCTATCGATCGTGTCCTGTGTGATCCCCGTTTGTTTCCAGTTCGTAAATCTTCATGAATCCTCAGAAGAATGATGGCACGTAAGGTTCGATGTAAGAATGTCTGGACTAGTGGTAGTAGGATCCTATCGGCGAATTCTTCTTTAAATGGCGTATTCTTCTTTATACCTGTTCAACAAGGTGGAGTTTCAGCTGCTTTGTGATAATCAAGTGCTATTCACTTGGTTAAGATCAAGTGTAATCGTGTTAGAACTAAACATATTGAGTAAGGCTCCACAAGATCAAGAGTTGTTGCATCTGGAGAGGTTTTGTTTCAGAAGGTACATACGATGAGAATGCCGTTGATATGTCACCAAGCCAGTTACGACAGACAAGTTCAAGCATTGCTTGGAATTGTTGAATGTTTTGAGTTGTTAAGAAGGGTAACCCAACCCACATTGAAGTTTCCAAGGGGCAGGATATTCGCCAAGGTGGAGATTTGATAGTATGACTTATAATATAATATACCGTAAATAGGACAGGGGATGGAGCGTACGGTACAAGGTTAATTATGTAATTATGTACCAGGTTTTTTATTATAAATAGAGATT